ATATATATATAAACAGCAGCCTCTTCACAAAGAACCATGAATGAGAACCACCTCTTCCCAGAATTTCTATTCTTCATGTCCGATCCCAAGGCTGCCTACTAATCACCCTTGCCCTTCCTTCACCCTCTCCATTCCAAGATCTGAGTCATTCTGGAATTTCCCTGCATGGACAATCGCTAGTACTTCTATGTTACTCAGACACTCAGTCTAATAAGAGAGAGAGGAGAAAGAAAACTTAGACCCAGAGTATGGCATTTGTGTGTACTTTAAACCAAACTAAGACATGATTGTAATCAGCTAAAGCTACCTTTTCTTCGTTATCTCATTCCCTCTCCATATTCTCTTTCACATCCTCACTATGATGGCTCCCCATTAACACAAATTCCAGGCTGGAGGAAGGCCAAGACCAGGTCTGTCCTGTTCTCCTTTGTATCCACATAGCCCAGCAAAAAGTGGAGACTTAATAAATATTTACAATCTCATTTCAACAACCAGTCAACCATCTTCCTGACCTTACCTTCCAATGCCTCCTCCAGAAAAATCTTACTCCTCCTAGGTTCCACTGTTTCTGAACCTCCTACAAAACGGGCTAGCCAGTCCAATTATGCAGACTAGAACCAAATGAAACTGTGCCTAGAATATCACTTCATTTTAAACCTAAAAGAAAGACTCAAGTCGGTCCCTTTATAGCAGTTGACATTTTCTACTTTCTGTTACATTTATAACTGAACATGTCTCATCTCTCAGATATTTCTGTTAGAAAGAGACTGTTATTTATTTTTTCTATCTGTACTTACTTTGTACATAAACGTGCTCAATAAATTTTCTCAATTGAATAAATTTCTTCCCACATACAAGCATGTGAGACAGAGAGTGCAAGAGACGATGAGAAACATATACCTTATAGCTAATATTTTTAAATGCTTATTCTTTGAGTCAGGCACTTGTCTTTTTTATGTACTAAATATATTAATTCATTCATCCTTATGACAATCCTATGAGTTAAAGTAATGCCATCGTGCCCATTTTGCAGATGATGAAACAGAAATATTAAGTAGTTTTCCCACAGTTGAGCAGTTTATCAGCAGCAGAGCTGGAATTCAAATTCAGTTTTGGCTTCTAAGAGACTTTACATAGAGTTCCTGCCATTGATATTATATCTGACCCTCATAATAATCTTGAAAAAGAAAATGAGGACTACAAAATTAAATAATTTATCTAAGATTGTATAGTAAATAAAAACAAATACAAAAATGGATCATAAATATTATGACCCCAACTTCAGGACTAAATATGTTTCCAAGGTGACTCTTAATAGCTGATTGACCTTCAGGACCAATGGCCAGATGGTCAAAGTGAATTACTAAAAAGAGTATTTTTTATATTGCCAGGAACATCACTAAATAAGACAGTAATATATTAAAATAAAAAATTTACAACAATCCCACTTCATGATGTGTAATGCAGAATTTGAAAAGTATCAGAACATAAAATTTACAAGCAAGGATATTATGATTTAGATTCTAGTAGCAAAAGATTAGAAACAGCATGAATGTTCATCAATAATTAGTGACTAGAATAGAATAACAATAAAGAAGCTCAAAGAAATCAGAAGTTGGTTCTTTATAAGTTAGCAAAATAGACAAAACTGTAGCTAGATTGATTTTATCTTTTGTTTTTTGAGACAGGGTCTCACTATGTAGTTCAGATTGCTCTAGAACTCACTGTGTAGCCCTAGATTGATTTTAAAAAGATGCAAATTATAACAATCATGAATAGATATCATTATGAAATATCTAGAAATAAAAATTATTATGAAAAGACAACACTTGGATGCCAATGAATAAAATGACTTAGATAAAAAGAGACAAACTACCTACACTGACTCAAGAAAAATTGAAAACTAAAGAAAAAAACTAGAAGGAAAGAGGTTGAATTAGTAATTTTAAAGCTACTCCCAAAGAAAAGCCTAGGACTAGACGGCTTCACTAATGAATTTTATTAAACAATGGAAGAATTAAATCCAAAACTTTATGACATTTCCCCCTCAAAAATTTTTTTCTAATACACTATAAGAAGCTATACTCATAACAAAACCAGATAAAAATAAAGAATTTAAGCTATAGAACAATAGTCCTTATCAGTAGATATGTAAAAAAATCTTAAGAAATACCAGTAAATAATATCAAAAGAATATATTTAAATGTACTATACAATATGATCAACTGTCTCAAGAATAGAAGTTGATTTAATGCATGAAAATCAAGCAATATATTACAACATGTTATTAGAATTAAGAAAAACACTCAACAAAATAGTAATAAAAAATACTTCCTCAGTGTGACAAAGGGCACCAGTGGAATATTATAGCTAAAGTTATAATTTATGATGTAAAACTGTATGCTTTACACCAAGAAAGGGAACAAGACAAAGAAATTGGATCTTGTCACTTCTATACAGAATTGTACTATAGGTTCTAGCCAAGGGAATTAATGGAGAAAGAAAAAGTTATCCATCTTGGAAAAGAAATACAAGTATCTTTTATTTTCTAATAACATGTACTGTATATAGGAAATCCAAAGGTGTCCACAAGAAAACTTTTGAACTTATAAATGAGTTTGGTAAGTTTGCAATGTACTAGATTAATACACATCTGCTGCCTGCCGTGCTAGCACAAGGACTCGAGTTCAATCTCTGGTACCCCCCGAAAAAAATAAATACTCAAAAATCAATTATATTACTATACAGATATTCCTCAATTTACAGTGTAGTCACACCCTGATAAACTCATCATAAGCTGAAAACTAAAGAAATAAATAAATGGAAAAAAGACATCCTATGCTCATAAATTAGAAAACAATATGGTTAGGGCAATAATTTTTCTCAAGTTAATCTACACATTCAATGCAATCCCTATTAAAAAAGCCTCAGCTACATTTTGGTAGAAATTGACAAGTTGATTCTTGTAGTCAGGGAATGGGTTTAATACAGGACACATAGTTTATAGGACTACTTTATAATATCCACCCAAAAAAGTCAAATGCAGAAGAGTGTGAAAAATCTCTCCACAAAACAGAGACCCAAAGGGTCCAGCCGAGGCCCGGATCCCACAGCAGTGCCCCGCACAAGTCCAGCTGAAGGCCTAGCGCCCAGGGCAATGTCCTCCACGAGTCCAGTCAGAGGCCTGGCACCCACAGCAAGATCTCATGCTTCTCCACACTGAGCATCTTCAAGGGAAGGCCCAAAGGCCGTGGTGGAAGCCAGAAAGCCTGAACCGGCAGGGTGAAGGGCTTGTGCCACAGGCTGATGGATCCACACTGGAGCCAGGAAGCCATGCTCGAGGTGAAGATCAGGGCTCCTCCACTGAGAACAGCAGGCCTTCCCAGCAACAGAGAAACCTGAGCTCCTCCGATGAAAACAGCCAAGTTCACATGAGGAAAGCCAGCCAGTGCGATCTTCTCCAAGAAAATCAACAACAAAGGATCTTCCCCTCCACTTTTCTTTTTATTCTGTTGGCAGCAGTCTTCAGGTGGGTTTTCCACACCCAGAGCCACACTGACTTGGTTCAGGAGGGCATTCCAGGTTGACCACTAGTTAATCCACCACAATCCTCTAATAATATGGGAATGCAAGATCAGCCAAAATAATCTTGTTAGAGAAGAACAAAGTAAAAAGATTCATATTTCATATTTTCAAAACTGATAAGGTTACAGTAATTGAGCATCCCCATAGATTAACAGAATTGAATTGAGAAATCATAAATAAACCACTGAAATCATGGTAAATTAATTTTTGACAAGGCTGCTAGGACAGTTCAGTGAGAAAACACTTTTCAACAAGCAGTTCTGGGATAAGAAGTGAAGAATTTTTACAACTGAGCAGTGTTAAAAAGCAAAAAAAAAAAACGGAGTTGGACACCCTGCCTCACATCATGTACAAAATTAACTCAAAATAGACCTCCAGTCTAAATATAAAAGCTAAATCTATATAACTCTTAGAAGAAAACAAAGGAAGAAATAATGACTTTAGGCAATGATTTCTTATGTGTAACACCAAAAGCACAATATTGCTCTTCCTAAAATTTTCAAAATTTTGAAGTTCCAGGTAACTATTAAGGAAATAAAAATACAGTAATCCCAGCATTTTTGAGGCTGAGGTAGGAGGATTGCAAGTTTGAGTTTTGCTTGGGAAACCTAGAAAGGCGCTATCTTGGTATTAAAAAATAAATAAAGTGGGCTGTAGATGTAGCTCAGTGTGAAGGTTCAATTCCCAATACAAGAAATTAATTAAATAAATATATTTTTAAAAAGACAACACACCAAAGGATAAAAGTATTTCCAAACCATATATCAAATGAGGAACTTATCTCCAGAATGCATAAAGGTCTTTTCTGTGTCATAAAAGATACCACAAAAAGACCAGGCAAGGGACAAAGAGCAAAGGACCTTACTACAAAGAAAATATACCCAATAGAGTCATGCTAAGAGGGAAAATGCAAATCAACACCACAGTGACATAACACTTCAAGCTAACCATTTGTAACTAAATTAAACTGACAGCCCAATTGCCCGTCAATTGGAGACTGGATAAAAGAAATGTGTGGTTTTTTTTTTAATAAAATGGAGTACTACTCAACCATAAAGAAGGAGAAACTAGAGAGATTTATAGATAAGTGGATGCACATTAAAACCACACTCTTAAGTGAAATTAATGTGTAAATACCGAATAGTTTCTCTGGTGTAAAAACTAAAAGTGTAAATAAGGATCAAAATGTGTAATTGATATTTTATAACAGGAAGAAAA